AAAATTAATGTCGAGAAAAATTAGAAAAAGCTAGACTATGGGCTAATTATTTATGGTTCAGAGAATGATAAAAAAATTAAAATAGTAATTTATTTGGCATGTTAGATTAATAACCAAGTAGTTAAAGCGCGATGAGAGTTGAAATGACTCCGTAGTTCAATGTGGGCAAATAAAAAATTAATCCTTTAGACGATAAGCGAGATTGATTATAAAGCAGGAAAAAACAAATCGTTTCAATAATAATTTGCCGTTATTTTGAAAAAAAATTTAGCAATACTCAAACTAAAAGTTAGTTAGAGAGCGGCTCAAAAATGCGAAAAGCATGAATTGAGCTGTATAAATTTTAAAATACAGAACTTATCATAAAGCATTAGGCAAAGTAGCCATCGTTATTATCGAGAATGAGGTCATTGTAGCCTAAAATCATTCTAAGTTAATTTTTTGTGAACAGAAAAATAGAAACATCCCATCAAAAATAACAAAACGAATTTCCCGGTTGCATGATTTAGCAAGCTAAATTTCTAGCAATTTCGGTACCAAGTATAAGCAAGCCACTCACAAGTTAATAAATGTTAAATAGCTTCAGCACTTACCTGAGGTAGTTGCGACCCCGGTTCCTGTTATTCCATTATTCCCAATTTGGCCGCCACAACTTCCTATAGTACCACATGAACCGGCGCCACTCCCACTCCCTCCGGTCAAGCTGCTAGACGGATGAAGTCCAAAGCCCTTAAAACTATGGCCTTGTGTGCGGGCAAGCAGATGACCTAGGAGACGGGAAGACTCAAGACGAACTTCGTACGAAGATGATTCCATACTACGAAGACAGAGGTTAACGGTGGCTTCAAGATCCGTAGTGTGCAAAGACTGAGAATAGTCTACAAGAGCGTAGATGCACTATGGAAAAAGGAGAAAAATATATTAATTTCAACCGGATGGTCACGATTGCAGCTACTAAATAAACCCGAAAATTTTATTGAACCAATTTATGACTTAAAATTTTGCAAAAAAAACTCTGCAAATTGTCCAGTTCTCCAACAATACGATTAGAAGTATAGCTTAACAACAAATACATTATATATATATATATATATCTCAAAAGCTTAGTCTTTAATACTGTTATGTAGTGCGTTAATTATTAACAGCTTTGCCTTGAGATCATTTGTCAATTAACTAGTTCAAGAGGGTTCAAATAGAAATAACCGCCAATACATATAGAACACTGAATCAAAAAGTTAATAATAACCATATTACAAATGTTATTTGAATTTTCTCATACCTTAGCAGCCGCTGCACGAACGGGCATAGCTCTATCCGTCATACAATTTTTAGCAGCCTTATAGATTTCTTTATGACAGCCGTAACCGGAATATCCAAGTCCATGTACAATACCATGAAGGGCTAGCATAATTTCATAACGAGTTTGAGATTCAGCCTATGAGCACGTAAATGAAAATACGCATTAAAAATATAAATACTAAAGGATAAGTAAAAATTTTTAAAATACTTCTAAAAAGGTTATGAATATTTTGCATATATATATATATATGTGTGTGTGTCAAATAAAAAGCATCGACATGCCTGTTTCAGTATCTTGACTAAAATAGCTAGACTTTCTTCATAGAGCCTTCCAACCAAACGCCCAAGGCGTTCATACATAGTTCCGAGACAATTAATAGCTGTTAGGCGGATATTTAAATAGGGAGGTCCATCATCTTTGGATTTTAATATGTCATTGCAGGTATTTATCGCCTTGTAAAGGTATAATGTATCTCCGTTTGAAAACAATGAGGCTAAGCAACGACCAATGAGATTACGAGTAGGAGGTCCCGGAGATCGCTGGATTTGAGAAATAAGCTGATCAACTAATTTTTCCTGGCATTCTTTAAGAGTAGTTATGTTTGTCAGGGTTAGTGCCTTATTTAACGAATATAGCCAGTCATATACGAAAACTGCCTTTCTTGTATCAGATAGCTGTTCATATGCATTATCATCAAAAAGTAAAGATTTAGATGAATCCATCAAATTAATCTTGACCAAAGGGGCAAGAATGGAGCGCGGGCAGAAGGATTACGCACATTGACTCGGTAAAGAAAGTAAGTCATTAAAATGTTATATAGGTTATGCTGTTATAAAAGAATATTATATATACGTTTTTAATTTAACTAATTGATATATAATATAAATAGTGATTTTTTTACAATAGTGTACTTTGAAGTTTATTTTTTTTATAAATCTGTTAGGAAAGGTCTAGAATAATACTTAAGGACAAGTTCGTGCCCATGGTTAGGCGAAGCTGCGCGTATTTTTTTGCATTTTCAAATTTTTGACTAGAAAGCTTTAATGACTTTTCCCAGGCAACTTATAAAATACGATGAATCATTTCAGAGATTTTCCGAAGCTTATCATATCCTTTGGAGCCTATATTGACGTGTTATTATAGGAATCCATAGATAAAAATTTGAGTCACACATTTATATAGCACTACATTAATAAGACATAAAGCTTTAAGTACCTATATGCTTATGATGTAATATTGCTTATAACAATTACTCTTCTTCCTCTAATCATTCAAAAATATTAATTAAAACAAAACAGAATCTGAAATGCAGTATGTATAAGAACTAATTTACGAAGAATTCTTTAATAGATTTATACTGTAGTACCTTTCATTTCGTTTGAAGAGGCGAGTAGAAGCGATTCGTAAGTAGGCCTCACCGGAAGCCTAAAGGGGATCACGTCGCAACAGTAATCGTAAATTTGTGTGAATAGTTCCTCGATGCATCGTCCTACTACCCCGATAAATCCTTGCTGAGTTTTTGTTGCCTTGTGATGGACATTGTTAGAGAAGGACACAATACTGTAACATAATTCACCAAGTAAAAAGGGCTTATAATTCAGTTCTTGCTGAACACAGACTTTAAGGACAACAAATAGATTAATGTAATAGAAAGCGCTTAACTAGATATAAAATATATGTAAGTTAGCTTAAGATTAGAAAACCTATAGAAATCAACATAACAGCCAAAACCCTGACTAGAAGGAATTAGTGTACGAATT